GGGGTAAAAATCAGGAGCTGATACCAAGGGCTCAAGTAGAAAGCAAATGTTTTGAGAATGATGAGGGCAACAAATGTACAAATGTGCTTGACACAATGGGTGTACGTATGGATTGTCATAAGTGTTGTACGAACCATCATGAAAATGATATTTTTAAATGTGCTGAAAAACTCGGCTTATACACGAATATAAATGGTAACTCCATTTGTGTAGAATTTTGGATTATGTGGATTAAACCTGGGAAAAGGGATAGCATTTGTAGTCAGAAAATTAGAGTTGACCGTATGATTCTTCTTTACCCCTTCATATATTTCACAATAACCACTTCCCAAATCTGCCTATTGAGTTTAGCAAAACGATCAGCATTTGGGTCCATGTTCCTAAAGCAACTGAGGTCCCAGATTATTTTAGACAAAACTCTGCTAATCCTTTCACTGTAAATTTTTGTGGACAACTTCTTTCTTTCCTTTTTTCATTATTACTTTCTACTTTAGAATGTCTTCCCCCTTTAAAAATATATTAAATCTTGATATGTCAATTCCTTTTCTACATAGTCTCTGAGTCTGAGCTTTTCCACATCAATGCTATCATGTTTCTAAATTCGGAATTTTTGCCAAATGGACAATTTTCCATCAATCTCGTTTTCATCATATTATCCTGATTAAATGCTTGCAATGTGTTCACATAAGAGCATATTTTACATATCTTCTGAATTTTCCTTTAACTCCCTCCAAGGAAGATGCAATTTTCCAATTATACTCACGATCATAAGTATGACTCATGGTAACTTAAATCTATCATAAGTTAGGAACTACTTGTGATTCTTGTTTTGAATTAAAAATATTAAACCTGATAGGATGTCTTCTCTAAGAATAAGTTCTAAATATTGTTTGCCATTAAAGTCAATTGTAGTGCATGAAATTGCAGCTTGCTTTTGTGATTTACCCTAATAGTGTTTGTATATTAAGTTAAGTTAAAAATATATTTATTGTTAAGTTTAAGTTTATTTATCTGTGTTTTTTTTTTTTTGTTTGTTTCTCTGTGTAGGTACTTAAAACGATTTAAAATCATGAAACCAAAGGTCTTAAGGAGCTGGTGCAGACAAATTTTAAAGGGGTTGCAATTTTTGCATACTAGAACTCCTCCTATTATTCACCGAGATCTGAAGTGTGACAATATTTTCATCACGGGACCCACTGGATCTGTGAAGATTGGTGATCTAGGACTAGCCACCTTAATGCGTACATCATTTGCTAAGAGTGTTATTGGTGATTAATATTTTATAGTTTGGGTTTGTATGAAGAGGGATTGTCAATTCTAAGGATCAACTCTCAAAGCGGGCCAATGACCTGATTATTTTTATTGGGGGGGAGGGGCAGTCATAACCATTATTTTACATGTTCTTTATGGGCGCTGTTGCACCAAGAGTTGAAGAGTTGAATCAGATACCATAAGGCTTGCAGATCCTATACTATTTATTTATTTTCTGGCCCTTTGCAGAGAAAAATTTCAAACCCTAGCTACAATGTATATATTCTTTGAATATATACATTATATATTTACTTATTTTAGAGGCATATATTTCTTTTGTGGAATATGTTTAGGATTACTAAATGGTTCTGAGGATTTAACAATGATGTTTTAGAAATTTGCAAAAATCTGAATAACTAAAAGGAAAGATTTTCATAATCTTGAGAATTACAAATTTTAATTTATCAGTAGGGAGAGTTAAGGAAAGTAAATACTGTAGGTGCTTTATATAGACAAAGCTACTGTTAATAGAATTTTATGTTTTTTAACTTGCTTTTAGGAAGCAAAAATTAACTCAGGTAATAAATAATCCTTAGGGTAAAGAGAATGTGATTTTTGTGGATACATTTTCTATTTAATGATACTCTGGTTGTGGTGTTATTTTGTAGGTACGCCTGAGTTTATGGCCCCAGAGATGTATGAAGAGCACTATGATGAATCTGTAGATGTCTATGCTTTTGGAATGTGTATGTTGGAAATGGCTACTTCGGAGTACCCTTATTCTGAGTGTCAGAATGCAGCACAAATATACCGTAAAGTTACTAGTGTAGGTATAACTATATTCTTTTTACTAGCACAGATGTCCACACAAGCTATTGAAGTTGGTAAAGTCAACTTAGTCAATCCTAATTTTGGTTTACTTATGTAAAACAGAACCAAATTAATATAATTTTAATGAAAGAAGATTTATATTACCTTTACTATTTACTCTATTGCAGTCATATGAAATACTGGATATCTTTGGGCTAATTTGCAGGTATATCCTTATAAAGACATTTTAGATATATATTAGTGGATCTCATTTTGCCAAGCTAAATACTAGAGAATGGACTAAGTGGTTCTGAGAGTTTCTTGTAGTTCTAAAAGCCTGATTATAAAGGAATTAAAAAATAGTTCAATAGAATCTTTGAGTGCCTATTTTGTGTAATTTTTATATTGGAAATTGAAAGCAATATAAAAATGAGTGAAAAGTATTGTCTACCCTGGAAAACTTGTAATTGACTCAGAGAATAAGATAAATTCTTAAATAGCTTTGAAATAAGGAGATGGCTGCACAGTAAGAGATACAGGGAAATTAAAGCAAAGTGTCATGGGTGCTCAGAAGAGGACCTCTTCATATCCAATTAGATGGCTCAAGATAGTTTGTTAAAGAGATATTTTTTTATTTATTAATTCTTCTGTTTTTATTATCTAGAACTTTTTAAAAAAATCATTTTTATTAGGGGCTCATACAACTCTTATCACAGTCCATACATACATCAATTGTGTAAAGCACATTTGTACATTCATTGCCCTCATCATTCTCAAAACATTTCCTCTCCA